TAGGTGCTTTTGGAATTTCGGGACGGACCTAGCTAGTTCGATAGAGAAAAAATCTGAGCATGGTAGCGTTTTCAAAAAGTGGTGATCGATAAAGGTGTTTTAGAAAATTCAATTTAATGAAAATGTTCCCGGTATCCGGAACCTTGTGGTGATTTGAGGTGATTTGCGGTGGTCGACCGCCCCCTGTCACATGGGGACTTCACGCGCCCTGGATCTCGTCCTAGGCATGGCCACGTGGCTAGTGCGTTGACCTACGAATTTTTTTGACCTTTTACCACAAGTTCGATTCTTATTTATCGTTAACTATTTGCGTTTTTGCTAATTAAAATTTTATGCACCGCGGTCAAGAACCAAACAAGAACCAAAAAGGGTTAGCCAGGGCGTAAATCCGAACCGGAGGCAAAAAATATGGAAAGGTTGCTAGGCAAGCGCGCTACTAATACGCCAATGGAACCTGTGATGGAGGCCTTCGCGGAAGGTTATGAATGACGCCTTGCCCAGCCGCGAAAACTTCGTGCATCGAGGAAATGGCCCCGAAAATTAAAAAAAAATAGCGAACTTTAAATTAAATTTTCCAAAATTCCTTTATCGATCAGCACTTTTTGAAAACGCCACCATGCTCAGAATTTTTTCTCTATCGAACTAGCTAGGTCCGGTCCCGAAACTCCAAAAGCACCTAAGAACGACTCCTTGTTAGCATTCAATTCACATGCCGATTTTACATAAAATCTGCATTTACATGGATTTTGGCCCTAAAATTCGTGAATTAAAACGCCTACCAGGGTTGAAAAGGCGCTTCGCGACTTTTCAACCCTGGCCCCGTCTGATCGCATGAATACTTCACTTTGCATAATTCTTCATTTCCGATGACAAAATGAAAACTGCGCTCGCTAGCCAATTATATAGGCTACCGGAACTTCCGGCGCATGCTAATTTTTTCCTAACAAAGAGGATCGACGATTTTCCAACAAAAACTTAAAGTTTAATGTCGAATATAGACAATTTTGATAAATCTGATCTGCGTGCAGTCATCTCAGGGCCAATACGCACCTAATGACGTATCGTACGTGGCCTAATACCCTTCCCCTCTTGAGATATCCTCCGGACAGAATGACGGAAGTTGCATGCAAAGTGGCACAGACACACACACACACAAACACTATTTTTTTATATATAGTAGGATATTGAAAAACGAAAACTACTTTTTTTTCTCGCATTTCCGCGAGCTTTGACAGATACCGTATTTCCTCTAATATAACCTAACCCCCCCGTATAATAGGGAAAAGGGAAAAGGCAAATAGGCGGGATGAAATGAAATCGTATAATACAACCCCCTCCCCCGGGTGATTGAAAAAAAATAGGGCCCCCTCCCCCCTGAAATTTTTGTCTCTACATATACCGATAACGGGGTCCTTAAAAAAATAACGGTCCATAAAAACAATAAGGTCCTTGTCGAAAGTTATGTAGAAAGTACATGACTTACGAGGTTTATTTGGTCTGTGGGGGCGGGCGGCCTTTCCCCGGGGGTCCCGCAGCGACCCTACTACTGTAGGTAAATCGCGCGGCCTAGGCTCTTCCCGCATTTCGGGCCACTTCTTCCCTCCCAAAAGGGAGTCGGTGCCGCCAGTCATAATTATGGCCGGTCGGTGATAGAATAGGAGCTGTGTGGCGGTTCATCTGCCCATAGCGACCTGTTAACCGGAAGGTGATTCTCATCCCCGCAGATACCCATTTCGCTTACCACCAGCCGCTTACAGCGGCTTTGCCGCTGCAAGCGGCTGGACTCCGGGCTACCCCTTCCGCTCCCTCCCCCTCCCTTTGTGATGGCCTTAGATACTTTAAAGGCTTTAAATAATGAATTAAAATAATTAAAAAGTATTAAAACAACTGAAAAAAGCGATCTGGGCGCGGGAAAGGGCTTGGGGACGGGGGCGCGGAAAGGGGGCGTGGCCTCCCGAGGAGAGGGCCCCCACTCGTTTTATTAAGGCGCCACTTTCAAAGTCAATTATTTTTATTTAAACAAAAACTTTTTCATAATTTTTTGATCATTTAAGGGGTTTCTGACTACGCTCTATCCAAATCCGAAGAGACCTAAGCTCTACCTCCTTTCCCCTTCGAGTTATAGTTGGCTTCTGACGGACGGACAGACAGACAGACACCACTACTGAATTCTTATAGTTGACCAGAGCTCTTTCCGCCCCCACTTGTATTACCTCCAGGTTCTCTGGCTCTTTTGTATTTCCTCACGGTGTTTTCTGTTCTTCTGATGTATTCTACTAATAAACCATTCTTATCTCTACATCTCTATTAGTGTTAATCGCATTGGATCTTATTCATGGTCTGCAGGTGCATCTTCTTGGCATAAATTAGTCTTACAGACCTCCACTGACCCGACTACCCGTGTACAGGGACGTAGCCAGAAAAAAAATTTCGGGTGATCTGGCTCTCTTCTCCGGAAATGTTCCCCGGAAAAAATTTTTCCGAAAACTCAAAAAATTAACGAGAAAACAGCGCCAAAAATTTTGGAAATAGCTCGCTACATAGCTCTACAAATCACTTATATATAAATTGCTATCACTTATATATAAATTGCTAATGTCCGTGCGCCCCACCGTCCGTCCGTACGGATCGCTGCGGGACCCCCAGGACCGGTTCGGACGGGTCCGGGAGCCGGGGCGTTTCGGGATTTCGGGATTTCGGTGTATGGGATGTTGATTTATTACTATTTTAAAATGTTTTTTATTTGTTTTGTCAGGGCGAGGGCCAGCGCTGAACCCTCGCGTAGCGTGGGGTCAGCGCTGGTAGCAGCAAAATTTTTGAGAAAATAAAATCATAAGGGGCCCCCCCTTATGACATTTTCGGGCCCCGGCCGATTGGGGGGCGGGCCGGGCCCAGGGGGCCCACCTTACGCTACGTCCCAAAAAGGGGTTATGAATATCTGAAACCTTATGTGCTCCTGGTTACATCGTGGTCGCCAATAAGCATATGACAAATTTTTTAACATGTTTTTTTTTACAAATATACATGCATTGCTATAAAGCCTCAAATAACCGAACTCTTCTATTAATGGCGCCAATTGTTATCATTGACTACCCGGGGCACACCGGCGGAGCGAGCTGGGCTGGTACCATAACTGTTCACCACCCCTAGTAAAAACCTAAAGTTTACTACCCCTAGTAAACTTCTTACCACCACAGGTGAACTTCTTACTAGGGATAGTGAACGCGTTCACGACCCCTGGGATGAACGCGTTTACTGGGGTGGTAAAATGATTTTTAGAAAAAAGTGATCGAGGAAAAATTATAGTAAACGACCAGAGGTCGCGAAGCGGCTTTTCAACCCTGGCCTCGTTTTGGACCAATGAAAGTTTTTACTTTGCATAATTCGGCCCGACCCATGCTGAAAAAAAAAGTGAAAAATGCGCTCCCTGCTCCTTTATATAGGCTACCCGCGCTTCCGGTGTATGCTAATTGATTCCTAACAAAGAGGATCTCGGATTTTTCAACAAAAACTAAAATTTAATGTCGAAAATAGGCTATTTTGATAAATCTGATATGCGTGCAGTCATCTCCAGCCCATTACGCTCCTAATGACGTATCAAACATGCCCCTAACTACTCTCCTTCTTGGGATACTGCTGGAACACGCTGACGGAAGTTGCATGCAAAGTAGCACACACACACACAGACACTATTTTTTTATATATATAGTAGGATTACCTAGTTTTAGGAAAAGTGATTTTTAGGAAAGATTATAGTAAACGATTACCTAGTTTTAGGAAAAGTGATTTTTAGGAAAGATGACTTTTAGGAAAGACGACTTTTAGGAAAGATGACTTTAGGAAAGATGACTTTTAGGAAAGATGACTGGGATCCGTTAAGGACCCCGTTACCGGTATACAGGGACGTAGCGTAATACAGGCCCCGGGGGCCCGGGGCCCCCCGCCGAAATCGGCCGGGGCCCGAAAATTTCATAAGGGGGGACCCTTATGATTTTTATTTTCTCAAAAATTTTGCTGCCTGCGGCGCTATTTTTTCACGCTTTTACTGCTATTTGTAGAGCTATATCGCCTTTTTTCCAAAATTTTTCGCCTGCGGCGCTGTTTTCTCGTTAATTTTTGAGTTTTTCGAAAAAAATTTTCGGGGCCCCCCGAAATTTTTTTCTGGCTACGCCCCTGCCGGTATAGAACCAAATTTTTTTCTAATGTGCACTCACGGGCCAAAAATGCAAAGAAAAGTGCACTTTAAGCTTGACACTGCTATTTTGAGCGATTTTGAGCTACTTTTAGTAAAATAATTTGTGTTTTTGGTCAAAATCTGACGATTTTACCCCCAATTTTCGAGATTGCAATCGATAAAAAAATATACGCCCCCTCCCCCTCTAATACAACCGCCTCCCCTCACGCCCAATCAAACAGGCCAAAAACGGCAATTTGCCGGGAGGGGCAAAAGCGTCAATTGGAGCCGGGCGTAGCGCGCGTCAAAAGGTTTAAACTCTTATAACTTTTCCGAACCGAATTAATATTGAAAAGCCAATATTAATTATTGCAGAGTAAAATTTAACGGTTCGAATGATACCAAAGAAAGCAGGTTAGCCCTCCGAAATACCACTTTTCACAAAGTCGCCCACCAAAACCGCCTTCGTTAGCATATTACTTTCTAAATTCAGTTTTGTTAGTGCTTAGTATCATTAGAATCGTCATGTTCCCTTCTACAAGACTGGAATTCGCGTTTTTTAAGATCGGCCATATCTTTCAAGATATAAGCCTTCAAAGTTTTAGCCCCATACATTTTTGAGTCGATAGGAGCGCCGCGTTGCCTAGCCCTTAGACCGCCAAGATTTTGGGGCGATTTCGGGGCCCTGGGTGATTGAAAAAGGATAACCCCGGAGGTTATAGTAAAGGAAATACGGTACCTAAATCGTCAAAATCGGATATTTCTGCGGCCCGCTGGAGGGAGGTCGATTTTTTTTGGGCCACCCTGTACAGCATCAAAAACTCACTTCCGGCAGATAAGGGTCCGTCTCGGCGACCATTCTCCTTGATTTCGCATCATCAGCAGCAGGTTCATCTGTTGATGAGGTCGGCGATTTGGAGCTGTTGGCGGAATAATGGCGTCTGGAATGACTCAAGCAGCTGTCGTCAAATTTTTGGCGGAAAAGGCCCGGTACTGGACTGTTAGCAGGGGGAACTTTTGCTTTTTACGCCTCTACCTGTCACTAAAAAGTTACAAAAAATATTTTAAACATTGTAAAAGTTCATAAAAATTATCGAATTTTTATGAACTTTTGATATAGAAAAATGTTGTGGAATGCTATAAAAATTATCTATATTTTGTTTGAGGATCACCCACGCTTACAGGGAAACTTCAGTGCCCCCCGGCTAACAGTCCAGTACCAAAGGTCGTAACAAACGCAAAACTGAATACAGGGTGGCTGAAAAGTTCCCGCAATTCCTTGATACTGTTAAACGGACTGGAAATTCCTAAAATTCTAATGAGGTAGAGAACTTATGGTCCCTAATAGTTTAATTAAGACGTAAAGAACAAATTGCGAAACAAAAATCCACAATAAATCTTCACAGCTTCCCGCAGACGCTTCGATACAAATGCGCATACACCTTGAAAAGTTGTCTCCCATGGTCGCGCCCTCTGCCACAATAACCGAGGCCAGGCACTTTCCAGGGGTGTTTTAAGGAGATTCACTGTAGCGGACCGTTTTTCTGAGCTCTTTTGCTACAAAATGGTCGAAACCGAAAGATCAAAAAAATTGAATCCACTGAGTTCGGGCCCAAACATCAAAGCCGCAAAAACCTGATTACAACTTTCCCCAGAGGGTGATAGTTGAACGGGCCGGAAAACCTGGTGTCCAGTCTTGCTTAAAGGGCTGCCGACGGCATGTGTCGATCCCCCCCATCAACAAATTGGCAAGTAGCCAACAGGGGAGAGAGCGCGCGCTGGGGAGAGGCGCAGAGACATTTTCTTTTCAGCGCGTAACCGAATGCCTATGCCGTCGGCATCCCTTTAAGCGTGAAAACGTTTTAACTAAAAGATTGCTTAATTCATGGCTCTGAAACGATCCTAACTAGGGAATGTTTTCGGGCGGACATCGGACCCAGCTATGTGAGTATGTGCATCTTGTAGAGCTCGACGAGACGAATCGATTGATGTAACTTTTAGCTGCGGATACCTCTTTTTAATAAAGTTACAGCCGTTTAAAGTTGTTCGCGATACCTTCATAAGCCCTCCCCACACCCAGGGCCATACCTGGGCCGAAATTTCGGGGGAGGGGACAGGACCGAAAAAAATTTTTGATGACCCCCCGGTCGACGCTTTTGTAAAATGGCGGAGAAACGGTGTAAAAACTAAAAAAAGGCGAAATTTTTGCAAAATTGGTTAAGAAATACCCTGGGATTGAGCCAAATCGCGGCAAAAAAGGCACTTTTGAACCGAAAATGCGATTCAATGAATGAAAAAATAAGCGCCGCAGGCAAAAATTTTCGAAAAATGGTGTTTCTAACACTAAAAACCGACTTGCGAACAGCTATAAAAAGCGCCGCAGGCAGAAAAATTTTCCGGAAAAAGATCATAAGGGTCCCCCTTATGAACTTTTCGGCCTTCGGGCGATTGCGGGGCGGGGGGGGGCTCGCCTGGGGCGGCCTGAGAGCGCCCCAGGCAGCAAACTTAGCGAAAATTGCGATCAATTTACTGAAAAACAGCGCCGCAGGCTGAAATTTTTGAAAAACGGTGCCTATAGGATAAAAAAATGGTGTTAAAGAGCGAGGAAAAAGGCGCCGCAGGCCTGCCCCCCCTCGTACGGGCCTGCCCACACCCCAGCCGCCGTGCTCTGGTAGTCTAGTGGGTTAGTGGTCGGCGTCTGGGGATGGTACCGAGGGTACGGATCCGCTCACGATTTTTATTTTTTGCTTTTTGGTCGAAAGCTTCCATTTTGCATCCCGAAGGACTACATTAACTTTTTTTCAATTTGCTAATCATATCATACCAAATGGTTACAGTCGCTTCGCGACTGCAACCAGCTGGCCTTCGGGCTACCCTACATGTCCCACTCCACCACATCCTTTCCCACCTCCATCAATACCCCCCATAGCCGAAATCCCGTTCAAAAACTACCTAAATACATTCCTGATGGCTTCAGATACCCCCCATGGCTGAAATCCCCTTCAAAAACTACCTAAATACCTTCCTAGACACTTTCAATAATTTAAATAATTAATTAACATAATTAAAAACTATTAAAAAGTATATTAAAAAGTATTAAAGTAACTTAAGAAAGCGATCTGGGGCCTGGGGAAGAGGGGCAAGGGGAAAGGGGGCGTGGCCTCCCGGGAGAGGGGCCCCACTCGTTTTATTAAGGCGCCACTTTCAAAGTTAATTTTAATAATTTAAACTAAAACTTTTTCATAATTTTTTTATCAGTTTTGGGTGGGGTTTCTGACCATGCTCTATCCGAATCCGAAGAGAGCTAAGCTCTAGCTCCTTTCCCCTTCGAGTTGAATTCGGCTTCACACACACACACACACACACACACACACACACACACACACACACGGACGTCTCTACTTTTTTATTATAGTTGATCATATCCCTATTAAATAAACATAAGCGGAACACAGGATTTTTCGAGCTATAGTCATCAACCTTGGTGTGGGTAACCCTGCGAAAAAAACCAATGAATACCGTCACCAACTTCTTTGGTGTGGGTGGTGGAGATAAAAAATGAAAAAAAAAGTTAATGTAGTCCTTCGGGATGCAAAATGGAAGCTTGACCAAAAAGCAAAAAATAAAAATCGTGAGCGGATCCGTACCTTCGGTACCATCCCCAGACGCCGACCACTAACCCACTAGACTACCAGAGCACGGCGACTGGGATGTGGGGAGGGCTTATGAAGGTATCGCGAACAACTTTAAACGGCTGTAACTTTATTAAAAAAAGGTATCCGCAGCTAAAAGTTACATCATTCGATTCGTCTTGTCGAGCTCTACAAGATGCACATACTCACATAGCTGGGTCCGATGTCCGCCCGAAAACATTTCCTAGTAAGGGCTTAATATTAATGCTCGGTGACTTCGATTTTTACATTTTTTTGTACGAAAGCGGTTTAAGGGTTGCTGGGGGGGTGGCGATCACCTGTCCGAAAAACACCTGTCCGAAAAACATCTGTCCGAAAAACAACTGTCCGAAAAATCGCCTGTCCGAAAAACATCTGTCCGCAAAATCACCCGTCCGAAACGTCGCCTGTCCGAAAAATCGCCTGTCCGAAAATCTACTGTCCGAAAAGTCATTTTCGGACCCTGAAATCTAAGTGCGGCTGAAGCTTCCCAAGGCCTTCAGGTAATCTATTCAAACCGGGTTTTGGAGAAAATGGGAGGGTAGTTTCCAGGAATACGAACCGCTACTGTATCATAAATTTTTGGAGTGACTCAATGAGCTCGGGCAGGCAGTCCCTAAGATACGGCCGATGAAACTTGGTTTGGTCACGATTCCGGGGCTTTCCCCACGTGGGGTTATCTGGTGGCAGTTACACCTCGAACCTTTAGGAACTGGCTAAGTAATTCGAAAAGGGTTTTGATTGGCTGCTTCCGACATTAGTTTTTCGGACTGGTTTTTTCGGACAGGCGACTTTTCGGACATATGATTTTTCGGATAGACGATTTTCGGACAAGTGTTTTTTCGGACACAGGTTTTTTCGGACGGGTGATTTTTCGGACAGATGTTATTCGGACAGGTGTTTTTCGGACAGATGATTTTCGGACAGGTGTTTGGCAATCTTGCTGGGGCTCTAGATTCCTACTCAAATCATCAAAGTTCTCGGAAAACGGGAATGATAGACCAAGACTCTTCTATTAACCGTTTTTGAAGAGTTTACGATGATTTTGCCCGTGCCGGCTCGATTCTATAGTGAAAACACTGACGCCTCCTTGCTCACCGGGAGGGCGCGACCATGGCCGGCAATTTCCACGGCTGCCTGCGCGCTTCTATTAAGCTGCTGGTGGAATTCGTGAACATTTCTTGCGAATTTTTGTGTTCTAATCTGTTGATTACGTAGTAAATAAAGTTTCTGTTGCCTTACCTCAGCCAAATTTTAGGAATTTTCCGTCTATTGACCTGCTAGAAGAAACTGCGGGAACTTTTCAGCCACCCTGTAGAGTCAGAATCACACAAAAGCAATGCAATGATTTAAAAGACCTTCCGCGGCTCACCCGACCTGTCCCCAATATGGCTTGGTACAGTTTTTTTGGACCCTGTTTTTTTGAGGTCATCTGAAAGAGCAGGGTCGAATTAGTAGGGTGGCACTATTTTGAGATGTTAAAAAGTTTATTTTCCGAGTTAAATTTGGCTCTAAAGTTGCAAACCTCAAAAAATTATCTCGGACACTACCGGACCGAATCGGCTCAAATTTTGTGACTAAGCCTAATTTGGGATGGGGATCATTTTTCTAATACATCGCGAGGCACGAAAATGGCCAGAACATAGGTATATTGCGTACTAAAAACAGTTTTTTGCAGTTTTCGACTTGATGGGTGTTCGGCCGCATCATGAGACTAGCATAGAAAGACGCGCCATTTTTTTCTGCATCGATTTATGTATCTTTTATCAGGCGGCCAGACACCCATTTGCTGGAATATTCCATTTAGTACGCTCAAAACGCACCAAAAATGTACCCAAAAAATGCATAACAAAAAATTTTTGGATTTTGAAGCATGAAAACACATCTATAAGACCAGCTGAAGCTATTGCAAAAAAAGAGCAAAAAGAAATAACGTTTTTAAAAGGGGTCTGAAATCCGGCAGGAATCGAACCCGGACCCTCCGCCTGGAAGCCCCGTGGCGCAGTGAGTAGAGCGTCGGCGTACCAATCCAGAGCTGCCGCCAGTTCAATCCCAGCCCCCTCCAAATAGCTGAATTTCTTTTTGCTCTTTTTTGCAATAGCTTCAGTAAATCGATGCAGAAAAAAATGGCGCATCTTTCTATGCTAGTCTCATGATGCGGCCGAACACCCATCAAGTCGAAAACTGC